GGCTTGAGGTTTATATCTCGGCCTTGGGAGAGAAAAAAGGAAGGGTGCAACGTTCAAAAAGCAAAACAACCATTTTCGGGTCCAGATCCGAGGCTACTACGTGAATGCTACGACGGACAGGTACAAGAGGCAACCTGGCAAGTCTGCTGTGATCCCGGAAAACCTCACCTCAACATCTTGGATCGAGTTTCGGGGCCGTCTCGCCCCCCTCAGGAACTACCAAATGCTGGACTACCTCACCAAGGACCTTCAGCTGCAAGCCCAAGCTTTGTTCACAGTGGGCCCGGCTCACAGCACCCACAGGCTCAGGCAATGCACGTCACAAGGGGGGGGGGAAGGGGGGCGGGAGTCTCTTGGGGGTTCCTGGAATGAGGACCTTGAATACTGTAGGAGATTGCACGTCGACGTTTGCTCTGTACAAAGCCTTGGATGACGTTCCCGCACCAAAGGAATGACTTTGTGTCGCAGTCATACAGTAGCAGCGACAATCAGCATTCTCAGCTGACCACTGTAACTTCCGGGCATTGCCTGCACTCACGTTCACTCCTGGTGTCCAGATGCGGGTGTTGCAGTCGAGATTCGAGAGTGCACCCGGTCATTCATGAATTCTCATTAAGCTTATACGTTTACTATGGGACCTCCCTCAATCTTCACAAGGTTTGTTTGGGTTGAATCCCGACATCTCCGACTCCCATTCTCTCAGAGAAGAACTGCTCCGGAAACTATGGTTCTTGAGCGCCGCAAGGTCCCCCAAGAGTCCCCAAAAAGAGCGGTTTAGGGGTGGCGTTGAAGGTTTTATGGTTTAGAGTTTAGATAGAGTCTTGGGTTTAGGGTTTAGGGTTTAGGGTTTAGAGTTTAGGGTTTAGGGTTTAGACTGGTCTGCGGAGATTCGAGGAGTTGCCCAAAGCTGTGGGTGGAAAGCTGCCGCCTCCCGGCTGACGATCCCCCACATACCCCCCCCCCCCCCAACTCTAAACCCTGGTACCCTAACCTAATACCCTAACCCGAACTAATCCCCCCCCAAAAAAGTTTACTGTATGTGTGCGTGTATATATGTTTTTTACTTCAAACATCCCTACCCTCTCTGGGTAGAGATACTCTGGGGTTGGGCACTCTAGGTTGGGCACTCTAGGGACACTCTCGGGGGGCTGGGCACTCCAGGGACACTGTGGGGTTGGGCACTCCAGGGACAGTCTGGGGTTGGGCACTCCAGGGATGAGCGAGGAGTAGACCGGACGAGGAGAAAAGTTCCCGGCGAGGAGAAGAGTTGAGTGCAAATCTAACAACCCCACACCGAGGGCGGGGAAATCGAAAGAAAAAGGCCCTAGACCGCAAGAAGCCCTTCGGATAGTACAAGTACAGCTACAAGGTCCTCATCTGGCGGTGGGGGGCCGGGGGCGGTGCATAGTCGGAAAAAGAGCAGTCAGTTCTGGCGTTCAACAACTTGGGGCCTAGTGTGGTTCTTTTTGTTGCGTTGAGGGATATAAGGAAGGAACCCTGGAAGGGACCCGAAATCGTAATAACCGCTGTATACACCTTGCATATAGTCCCTATATACTTAAGAAGCCCCTACAACCCTAAACCCTAAAGCTACACACAGTACCCCTAAGGTCCCTTGTGAGGGTCCATCCTTAGTCTCTTTTTGTTGATGTTTGGGCCCGGGCCAGCCTTCAAGATCTCAAGATCCCCGGGTGGACCTCTAGTTTTGGGCAGAGTAGCACCCTAAACCCTAGGCCCTAAGCCCCAAACCCTAGACCGATATACTCGTAGGTTCGAAGACGCAGAATGAGCTTGTAAGCAGCCGTATCCCCTGAACCTAGGCTCGACATCCCCCCTCCATGGCCCCTTTGTGGGGTTAAATGCATGGCTCTGGGCTTCGGGTTTCGGTTTTGAAGGCTCAGAGGGTTTTGAGGCCTCAGAGGGGGTTTAGGGTTTGGGGTGGATTTAGGGTTAAGGGCAAAAGGTTTAGGGTTTAGGGTTCAGTCTTTCTGGCTTGGGCTTGAAAGAGCGCCTGGAGGAAAAAAGGACCGGGCTGGGGGCCTCGAAGCGCGAACCAGCTGAGGCTTGATCGTAAGAAGCTGGGCATCATGGGCCACTCCATGGGGGGCCACGGCGCGCTCGTGGCCGCGCTGCCAGCGCCCCAGTCGCCGAGGGCAGCCAGCATCCCCCCCCCTTGAACCTTGAAACCGTTTAGGGTTTAGGGTTTAGGGTTTAGGGTTTAGGGTTTTGGGTTTTGGGTTTTGGGTTTTGGGTTTTGGGTTTAGGGTCTTCTTGAGAAGTCATGGGGGACTGCAGCTTGCCGATCGTGAGATGCTGGCGCGTCGCCAGCTTGATTCTGGAGCTCATGCGTGGCAACTTTTCACCCGAAACCCTGAACTTGTTCTAGAGATCCAAAGTCAGGAAGAACCCGGGCATGTACCGGTCTGTTTCAGCCTTCGCGCCCATCGCGACGCCTGGCAGCACCTCGCGAAGTTTGGGAGCAAGTAGGGTTTGGGGCGTAGGGATGTACACCCCAAACCGTGACACCCAAACATGAAAACAAGGAGTCTTGTGCTTGGGGTTTAGTTTAGGACTCTTTGTGGCGTGCAGGCGCTTAGCTCGCGGTTTTGGCAGCCTCAGGAATCCATCTGAAGCGCCTTGGGGGCAGAAGGCGTTCAGCCTCTACTTGGGTTCCTTGGCTGAAATTCTTGAACCTCAGAGCTATGAACGGTGAAGGGTTCAGAGTTTTTGGGTGTATGGTTTGGAGTTTAGGGGTCTTGGGGCAGCCTGGTGGGCTAACGCTCGACACGGAGTTTGTGCTTCAAAACCCCCCAAAAACCTGAAACGCGCCCAAAAACTGCGCGCGCGACCCGAAACGCCATTGAGGAGCTGATTCAGGGAGATCTTTAGGGCAACGGCCCTGCACGCTGCCATAGTTCCAAGCCGGAAGTCCCGTGAACCTTACTCGCTTTTCGTAGGGAATGGGGAATTAAGTTCCTTATATCCCCTATGTTGCCCTTTCAGGCAGTTCTATAGGGCCCAACGCCCAAAAAAAAAACCTACCAAGAACCCGTAAAAGCCTAAACCCTAAACCCCAAACCCTAAACCCTAAACCCTTTATTCTCTTACGAAGAACCGGTAAGCAAATGCCGCCAAAGGCGAGAAGCCGGCATGGGCGGACTACGACTCAGTGGAGCTGCTGAGGATTTGTTGGGGGATTTAGGGGGTTAGGGTTTAGGGGGTTAGAGTTGTTTAGGGTTGTTTAGGGTTGTTTAGGGTTGCTTGGGGGTTGTTTAGGGGTTGTTTATTAGGGTTGTTCGGGGTTCAGGGTTTAGGACTTAGGGTTTTGGGGGGCTTAGGAGATTAGGCCCTAGGCATTCAGGGGCTTGGAGGTTTGGGAGTTTGTGTAGGGAGCTAAGGGTGCAGGGATTTGGGGGTGGGTTGGCTTCAGGGAGTTAAATATGGAGTTTGGGGGTTGAGGGTTTCGACGGCTCGTTGGTTGGAGGGTGGCTTGGAATGATTTGGATTCATTATTACATTAGTTCAGGATGGGTGTAGGCCTAGCTTAACTTCCCGCCCGCCAAAGCCTAAGCCTAAGCACCTGCTGCCAGGCGCTATCGGGGTCCGCCCATGCGCTTGCTGGTGGATCAAGGCGCCCGTGCAGTGTTCAGGGTGCAAGATCGGAAGCCAGAAAAGCCATTGAAGTGCGAGACTTCCGACGGACAGGATGTACGGAACCCGAATCCCCAGGTGCTCTTAGGGTCCGCCGCCCTAAACCCCAAACCCTTAACCCCAAACCCTAAACCCTGAACTTTAAGCCCTTAACCCCAAACCCTAAACCCCAACCCTTAACCCCAAACGCTAAACCCAAGACCTTAAACTTCGGAAACCCCCCAAAACCGCCTGGATGACCGTAGGCACGTCGGACATGTTCCTCTCGGAGCAGCTCAAACCGGGCCTGCTGAAAGCCGTACCCTGGCTCTGCAGGGCTTAGAGGTGTGCATATGCAGAATTCAAGCACAGCTATACAGTACGTATACACGCACACACACATACATGTGTCTATATATATATATATACAGAAATATATATATATATATATATATATATATATATATAGTGTATATATATATATATATACATATGAGCAAGCGCCAAAACCCCCAGCCATTCAATTAAGTAAGGGGTGGACACGAATGCCCAAAACCCTGTAAAACGATGGGACCACTTGAAAAGCGACACCCCTAAGTTAATGAACCGTTGGGTGTGCTATAGCCGTGATTTTTCCTAAAGCGACACCTACAAACATCAAGCGTGGATAAATGATGCTAAAACCCTGTAAAACGATGGGAACACTTGAAAAGCGACACCCCTGATGTTGCGTCCATTAGCACCTCGAGCCAGTTTGGGCAGTCGCTCATATGGTAGCATATATATGTACACTCTGGTACGTATTAGGTACTTCTGTGTTGTGTAATTCTTACGGTGTGCAGTGTATAGTACATGGTATATAGAATCTGGTATGAGGTACATTGTAAGTACCGAATATGAACACATTACCTATCTCTGAAATATTGTCCGTATATAATATGGTTCTAGTCCCAACCCTGTGCATGTGTGTGTGGTTGTTAGACTGTAACTAAGACATTCTCCTCGTCCGGATTTCTCAGAGAGCCCCCTGGTTCCCACCCCCACGAAATCCCGCAGAAAATCCCGCAGAGTGTCCTGCTGTGTAGCCTTGGAGTGTCCAACCTCGTACAAAAGTCCCCCAGAGAATGCTTGGAGCCCCAAGGAAGTATTCCTAGAGTTTGCCCGCCCGGGAGAATCCATGGAAATCCCGCAGAACGTTGGAGTGCCCAATCTCGGGCGTCAAATAGCTTCGGTTTGGGTGGGGATGTTCAGAACCTTTTTCAACCGTTCCTTAGGAACGGCTGAGGGCTTGCAGATTCGATAGCCTCGGATTCTCTCCCAGACGGCCGGCTCAGGTTTGCGACGAGAAGGGCATTGCACTTACACTTCGTATGCAGCGGCTCGCCCCAAGGGTGTAAGGCTGTCTCTAAGACTGAAGTTATGATTAGTTATGATCTACTTGTCAGGGTTTCAGGCGCCGTTGGAAATTCTGGCGACTTCCACTGCTGAGGGAGGGGCTTTCCCAAAACCTCCAGAACCCTGAAGCCCGCGCTGGAGTTCCCATGCAGAAGCCTTGAAGAAAAGAGGGGTGTCAAAGCGCAAAAACCACGGAGACAGACTGTTCGGCTGAAGAGGGTTTTGGATTGGTGGATTCAACAACGGGGTGGAGGCTTCTCAGGGTTTCGGGGACTTCAGGCTTATGCCGTGCAGGGAGAATTCCTTGGGTTGGCGTCGCAAGTGGCGGACCAGGTCGGACTACGACCATTCCTACTACTTCATCTCCAGCGGGAGCCTGATCTTCCTTCGTCGGTCGTCTGGCAGCCATGAGACTCTGTGGCTCAGGTTTCATCCAGGATCACCTGAAGTTTCACGCCTCCTTCCTGGATGGGGTCTTGCGATGGTGTCCAGATCCGGGATCGTTCCTGGCGCCCAGCGTCTACTCGGTGGAAGCTTGCATTGATATGAACCCGGGCTCTAAAAGCCCCAAACCCAACATTGACATGACAGCTGTCCGAAATCTCCTCATCAAGTTTCCCCTCATAGCAAAGACACGGCACTCGGCAACTGCATGGTGTCTTTCTCTTTGTTCACTTCGACTACTTCTATTTTGAGTAGTCCTGTCAGTCTTCTCGAAAATGCAACCTTTGTGATTTGGTTTGAGCGACGGGCAGTGCATGAAAGCACGATGGAGCTTGGAACCACTAGGTTATGCTAGGCATGTGCAGGCTGTCCCCCTGTCGGGGGGCTTTGTGACAGAAGGGCTTTGGCGCGAACATTCTGCGAGAGTTTTGAGAAAGTCTCCGTGAGAGACCAAGGAAATTTCGGCCTTTCTTGTTGTGCTGTTGCGGCACATACCGGCACTGTTCTGCAGGTCCAAGAAGCATAGGGCAGCCTAAGGAACACAGACTGTGCAGCGGCGGACCACGTGTGAGGCATGAATGTTGTCCAAATAGCGGCCATGCAACATTCAACATGCAGCTGACGAATCGGGAGATGTGTCCTGCCTCTGTTCCGACTGCGCCAAGGACCCCACACTGTTGACACCCGCCGATGAGCGCCTTGGCGTTCAGGATTTTCGTGGAGGGATTGAAGACCCTGAACCTTAAACCCTAAACCCTAAACCCTAAACCGCCCTGTCCTGCCCCCTTTTTCCCCACCCGCCGCCTTTCCCTTCAACCCTAGGTCGGACGCTCCCGAGTCGGAGCACATCGCCGAAGCACCCGAGGTCGTGGAGGAGATGCAGTGGAGGGTTTAGGGTTTAGGGTTTAGGGTTTAGGGTTTAGGGTTTAGGGTTTAGGGTTTAGGGTTTAGGGTTTAGGGTTTAGGGTTTAGGGTTTAGGGTTTAGGGCGGGAGGTGGGCCGAGGTTGTGGTTTAGGAAATTTGGGCGCTAGGTCTCCGTGAGATTTAGGACTATCAGAGCTCGATACACAAGTTAGAGTCAGGAATTAAACTCTCACAAGACACCCTGTATAGTTCCTTAAGCGGGGGTCTTGGTCTCTTCGGGGTGGGAGGTTGGGCGGTTGGTTGGTTTGGGGGTTTGGGGTTCAGAGATTTTAGGAGGCTTAGGGTTTAAGTGCCTCGGGGTTTAGGGGCTCAGATTGGAGAATGGTTGGGGTTTAGTGCAAGAAGGTCCCACATTCTTGAGCTGCTTGTCTTCTGAGAGAACCGATTCCTCAAGTAGCTTCAACCACGAAGGTGCCACAATATAAAGACCATAAGTGCAGTAGCCCAACCCCTGGAAACCCCGTGAATTCTGAGGGTGGTGACATGGTCTCTTTATATGGGCCCTTAATGGGGTAACCCTTATGTATCCCTCAAAAACCCTATAAAACCCAAGGGCCCACGCCTCAGAACCCTTTACAGAAGTAAGGGACCAAATTAAACTCACCGTGCAACTTCACAACAATGAGCCCCAAAGCCCTGCACACCCTCAACTTATCAACTCTACCGCGCCGAAGAAAATCTTCAGGAGCCCACAGACTCCTCCCGCGTCCACGCAGGCAGGTAGCCCCTCAAGGTTTTGCCTTCGTGGTTTGGGGCAGGTCTCTGTGTTGAGATTCAGAGGCCTCTTTAGGCTTTGGGGTTTAAGGTTCAGAGACTTGGGGCTTAAAGATCAAAGGTTTAAATGTTAAGGATGTGAGGAAGCTCAAAAAAGAAGACTGAAATGGGGTTGGCTAGGTCTGCAGGAGGGACCCTACCCCAGTTGAAAACTGTGGCAGGGGCCTGCATAAGAAGGGTCTGGATCGCAATGAGCACAGGCGAGACAAAGCTCGAGGATGCGGAAGAAGCGCGCGAAGAGGCCGATGTGTCTGTGTGCGATGGGAAATGGGAAACTGCCGGCATGGGTTGCTCCTAAACCCTAAACCCTAAACCCTAAACCCTAAACCCTAAACCCTAAACCCTAAACCCTATACCCTATACCCTATACCCTATACCCTATACCCTATACCCTATACCCTAGACCCTAGACCCTAAACCCTAAACCCTAAACCCAGGCCGCGGCTTCCACCGGTGCTCTGCAAACTGTGCAGATCATCGATGGCAGCCCAAAGGAGATCGAGCCTTGGCCAGGAACTGCGCCCTCAAAGCACCTGACTTGAAATCCTAAGGCCCTAAATATATATGTATATATATATATATGTATATAGATATACATATATATATATATTATATGTATATATATATATATATATATATCTATAAGTCTCCGAAACCAACCAAAAGCACCCTACCGCCCCAAGCCCCTCCAGCACAAACCTCCATGGAAAGCCGTGTAAACCTTCAAGCTGACTAACACTGCCACCCCACCACCCCTGGAGTCCTCTCAGGACTCTTTGGCCGCCGTGTCCCTGCCAGATGAACTCGCGCTTCAATTGGTCAAAGTGAAGGCGTCCCGATGCTGCGGGCTGCTGACATTCTTTGACGTGCTAGATACCTTAAGCCGCAATCCCTGGTGGAGGGTTCCCCTTGCTAAACGGAGCCTTGTGTCTAGAGCACCCAAAAAGGATCACGCTTCAGAGAAGTGTTGTTCTACTTCGCCAGCGTTCAGGTGTCCCCCCCACAGGCCGGGGAGGTGCGTGTGCGCCAGGCCAGGCCCGGTTGCCAGCACTGGGGACTCCAAGTTCCCAAAAGCCACCCCCCAAACATCGGCTTGTACTTCTGCCCCTCGTCAAAACCCTGCAACAGCAGACAAGCGGTCCCTCTTCTGCGAGAGAAAGAGAGAGAGAGAGTAAGAGTCAGAGAGCCTTTAGGTCGGGAGCCTCAGGTTTCTGTTGGGCTGGGAAGGGTTGGGAGGAGCGGCATGAGTGTAGAGTACAATGGGGGGATGCTTGCTACGAGTCGCTTTAATGCTACAACTCCGCATGAACTCGTGCTCCGCCAAGGCCTGGGACATGTGTCGTGAGAGGAGTGCAGCGCAGGGGCTCTCCCCCATCTCCCTCTCTGCCTCTCTCCTTCTCTCACTCCCTTTCTTTCTCTCTCTCTCTCTCTCTCTTCCCTCGCTCTTTCCCTCTCTCTCTCTGTCTCTCGCTTTCTTTCTCTCTCTTTCTTTCTGTCTTGCTCTCTCTTCGTCTCTCTCACGGTGTATGACCTTCGGACCCAAGTCGGTAAGAAGAAGAAGACGAAGAAGAGAGAAGAGATCGAAACCTTAGAGGCCCTCAGTCTCCGGCCCAAAAACCCTGGAAGAGGTGGCTGCAGTGCCCTCCCGAGTAGACCTGCTGGCCGAGAAGGCTCGCAGACTTTGGGAGCAAGAATTTTGCACATTGGGTTTTAGGCTTTTGCGCGGTTCCAGTATTTAGGGTCCAGACCTTGGGATAACCTGCCCCAAGAAAAGTTTGAAGGACTCGGTATGGGTTAGGGCTTCGAATTGCTGAGTCATCACCAGACTACACAAATGGTCACGCAAACTACCCATGCTAGTTTTTTGAACCCTTGTATGACATTATCGAAGCGACCTTTTTGGTGGCGAGCATTACACTCTTCATCCTGGTGACCATCCTGCACAGATAAGGTTCTGGCAAAAAGGCAAACACGGAATTTGAGAATCAGTGCTTTACTCCTTCAGTGCTTTACTCCGAGTAGGGTTTTCAGGGTTCTCCGCGTAAGTTTGGGGGGGGGGGGGCTTTTTTAGGGAAGTAGACCCAGGGCTCCCAAGAACACAGGAGAAGCCATACCCTCGAATCCTGGGCCTCGAGTCGTCCGGCATCGTGGAGGACGTAGGCGCGCATCGGACCGGGTGTGAAGGCGTTAGCGAGAAGATGGGGGGGGGGGGGTTTCCGAAGTTGGGGGTTTCCGGGGTTAGGGGTACCTAGTATAAGGCAAGCCTACTAGTTGGGGGTCCTTATCTTCGCAAACTCCCAGATGAAGCCCATCGTCTCAGGCAAGGTCTTTTGGGCCTTCGTGCGCGTAGGAGGGTCACATGCTTGCTTGTGCGCACGGCCTGCTTGGAGACCAGTCTGCGTGTGATGCGTGCGATGAGTCTGAGAACCTGAATGGTGTGGGGAGGTGCCCGGTGTAGAAACAGAACTCTTGCGCGGTAGCATGAAGGCGAGGGCGTTGTCGAGTTTCAGCCCGGTGACCACGTCATCCCATGCTACCAAGCACACTGCGGCGAATGCGGGGGCTGCAAAACACCGGTCGCGGACTTAGCTGCCGAGGGTGTTTGGGTTAGGGCAAGCAACCGTGAGCAGGGACTCGATCTCGATGCGGAAGCCGCCACAGAACCTTCAGGGCTTCATTCGTGCTCGGCCGAGGAGTCCAACGTCTGCGAGTCCGTCCATCACTCCACAAGCCTCCTGGACGAAGGCGCCTGTGAAGTCTCTCGTGTTGAAGGGGGCCCGCTGTAAGGCCGTGGGGTGATGGTGGCTGATGGCCTGCCGCGGTTCTCCTACGGCAGCACGGACGTCTACCACTTCCAAGGCACCAGCGCCTTCTCGGCTCCGAGCTCAGCTGGTGCGTTTCGCCAGGAGCATGCAGCTTCAACCGGACCATTTAGTCTCTACCTTTTAAACCCTGAGCCTGAACTCCCAAACCCTCAGCCTTGAGGAGTACAGCGTGGTTCACGCACACTCCCTCATCAAGGTGCGGAAGGAGCGGGGGTTCAGCTCCATGACGCCAAGACTTATGAACATTGCAAACGCTTGGATGCGGGCTCCTCTTCGTTAAGAACCTCACCCGAAACCCACAAGCCTGCGATCTCGTGAACTGAAGCCTTTGACTCCCGCGAGTTTTCGCGGCCTAGGGGGCCTCCCTAGAGGACGAAAAGGGTTTATAAAGCCCTAAACCCTATAAACCCTATAAACCCTATAAACCCTTATAGGGTTCAGAGCTTGGAGTTGCAGGACGCCCCCTTAGCCAACTTGGGCCTTCTGGGGGGCGGCGTGGCCGCCGCCCTGGGGGCAGTGCCTCGGCTGGCTGGCGAGGTCCTAAATCCTGAGCCTAAACCCTCGACCCCAAAAGGCAAGGCTTCAGGGTTGCCTGGGCCTTGTGTTAGCCTGCAACCTTCCCAATCGCTGATACTGGAGATACTGGAGCCGTAAAAATTTCAGAGGCCTGAACGAAACGCGGATGCTGAGGTCTGGAACGTCGCCCGCGTGCAGCGGGGTGCTTCTGCTGTCGTCTTTGGGGCGCAGGCACTTGTCTGGATCCTACATGAGTTGTGGGTTTTGAGGTGAAACCGTCCCCGAAGCCAGAACTTGAAAGCCCTGTCGATTTGTGCCTGGCATCCTGCAGGCTAATTAAGGAGTTGCTCCAAGGTGATCTTACTTGAATTTGTGGAATGTGTTTTAAGGTTTGGGGCTCTCCTGTGCTAGCTCTCGTTGCCAGGAATGCGATATGAAAGGTTATCGTCAGGGGTCCTCCGGTTTAGAACGACCTGTGAGTTTTACACCCTGGCTCCTTCTGCCAATCCAAGCCCTTCCATGCCTGTCATCATATGGGGAATGTGGTCCTCTTGTAGGTGCCTTTCGGTCACAGGACTCGTTACAAAGGCCCTCACTGAAGCATAGAGTAACTAACCCCCAACCCCTAAACCCTCTAAACCCCCAAACCCCCTAAACCCTGAGCCCTACGATCGCAGGCTGAGGGGCTGGCCGTCATTGCCGCGCTGGCAAAGGCGGGAGCTGAGAAGCAGCCAGACTTCAAAAATGGGTATTGGGGTTAAGAGGTTGACGGGTTGAAGGGTGTTACGGCTTCAGAGGGGGAGAGGAGGGGAGGGGAGTGGGCTTAAGACATGTGAAAGCTGAAGAGTTTAGGGCTTGGCGTCGCGTGGGTCCGGCGCTCCAAATTCTAAATCTCAGCCCGAATCCGAGGTTAGTCATTCGGGCCCTTGCTTTAAAGTTCGCCTCCCTAAACTTCGCTCAGCGCCCAAATCCTTAGCCTCAGCGCTCTCCCAATCCAACTCTTGGAAAGCTGAAACACGAGTTCAACCAAAGCATTTCGTCCGAGCGCATCTACATCCCCTGAATTCTTCATTCCTAAACCTTATAAACCCTACCCTGCAGTCTCTTGATCTCTGAACCCCTAAACTCCCTAAACCCTACGGTTCCTAGACTGTCTCGCATGGGCCCAAGGATTGTAGCCGTGGATCCATATTCTTCAAGGCTCGTCGCAGGCTCAGCTGTTGGGTTGGAGGGGGGGATCTCGAGTTGCAGGTTGCAACGCCTCAGGAATCAGGGCCTCTCGGGGATTAGGGAAGGGGATTTAGGGGCATCTAGGGGCTTTTACGGGTAGTGTTTTCGCTAGCCTGGCCTGAACTCGATTCTTCGACGATGGCTGGGTTGGTGGGGGTGTTGGAGACAGATGCGAAGTGCTCTCCAGGTTTCTGGATATGCGAACTTCGCATATCCAGAAAGGTTTGATGTCAAGCCAGATGTCTGGCGAAGGCGTGATGTTAAGCTAGATGTCTGGCGAACCTACGCAGCACCTCAGCCAAGGACCTTGCCAAAAAATGGGGGGCAACCAATCTCCTCAATCCGTATGCCCTGCCGGAGGGGATCAGCGTCAAGGACGTCGCACCGGTTGCGCGCACGTGTCATGACCGCTCACTGACAACTTGCGCAGGATGAAGTCCTCAAGGTCCTGGCTCCTTGGAACCATAGTCACACAGACTTTGTGTTTCCTATGGCTCTCTAAGGGAAGTATGGGGAATGCCGGCCAGACAGCCTTGCGATATTGTTCAGCATGGAGTCCGCGTCCTTATCACTTCGCCCAGGGCTCCCCGGCCGACGTTGCCTTCGAATGCAGGGGAGACACGATGGAGCTTGCGCCTTCAGTGTTAGAGGTCGTTGCAGACTGGGGCAAGTGCGTGACGGTGGGTACCCCAAATGGCCGGGGGGCTCAGTGGGATGAGCTGTCAGGTTCTCTGATCTAGGCATAGCAGTTGCATTGGGCAGCCCGTGCATTTCATGTCTTGCAGCTTGGTTAAAGCCTCCCCGAATGCCGACTGAAAACAGCGCAGGTCCTGATGTCTTGCTCCGGTCGCCCTTGCCGCCACCAGGGGGTCTCAACAGCGTCGCATTTGGAGGCGCGGCCCAAAACTGGACTCCCGCATGTCCTTCTGGGGGACGCCCGAACCGCAAGGTCCACACGGACCACTCCAAAGTGCCGATGAAACTAGATGGGCTTGGGCAAGCTGGGAGACCAATTTTTGAAGGCTTCATGGCCCGCTTCGCCCAATGTTTGGTCTCCCGTCTCGTCTCTGGGGGGGGGGGGGGGGGGGTGAGATAACTAGGAAACTGAGCTGGCCCTCGTTCCCTCCCTGTTTTTTGGTTTAGATGCCCTTACAAGCCCCTTTATTCCTAGGTTTGGGATGGTTTGGGTCTGGATAAGCCGGCGACCCTCGTCTTTTGGGTGTTTGCTGGGGGGTTAAGCTCAGAGGCCCCACTCTGGGATTCCGTTCTGTGAATGTGCTGATGGCCGGGGCACTTGTTGAAGATTTCAGGGCTTGTTTTGCGACCTGCAGAGAGTCAAGAATCATATGAACACGGCATTTCCAGCAAGGATAGTGAGAGTTGCGTGGGAGGTTGGCGCTCAAAGCAGCAGATCCCTTTGCTGGTGGTGCGCTCCCCAGCAGGATCAGAATCTGAGGTGGAGGGCCGTCCATTACTTACATGAATTGAGTACAGTAGCAGATGCAACTCCTCTCCTCAGTCCTCAGGACCTCTACATGGCTGGGGAGTTAATGGTGGATGCCCCCCGGCTGCTTAAGTAGGTCGAAGGCCTTGAGCGGGTCAGGGGAGTCCACGGCAAACTCGCCGCTGCCAAGGAGTATGTCACGCACGAAGCACCTTTCGAAGACATCAACGACGTGTTCGAGAACTTCGATGAGGACGTGAGAGTCCGAACTGCTCTCAGATTCTGAGGTGGTTTTTTCGTGTTTAGGCTTAGACTGCGTCTGTGAAGAATACCCCCCCCGGCTCGGAGCTCCTGGTGGCAGGGATGCGAGTGGCGTGGAAAGATATGCAACACTTCCATTTTTGATCTACTTGTTCCATCGACCCCCAACAAACATGTACAGCAACAGATGTACATACATACGAAGAAGCCATCTCCAGCCATGCTCCCTGCCTCCGGAGCCATCCGGTCAGTTTCATGGACTCACGCGTCTTGCGCGCCCGTAAAATTGGCGAGGTGCTCTTTGTGTTTACCCTCCTCCCTTGCAGGTGACGATTCTCGAATCGTGGGTCGAGGGTCCATGGCAGCGCAAGGTACCGGAATGCAGCCAGCGCCAGTACAAAATGGGCGCACTTCGACCCACTTCGGGAGCGACAGCTCTGAATCTACCAGCCGTCTGCGCCAGCGCTCGAGTCGCTTCTTCAGAAACACAAGTGTGAGCTGCCATGGTTGACATATGCAGCAGAGAACAGGCGTTGCAAGCAGGGTGTCTTGACAGTTTTGCACACTGTGACGACAAGCTAGCCTAAGTGACAGGTTCCCTGCATGTAAGGCCGCCTGGACCCTTTGTTCTATAGCACTCCTTGCAGCTGCGGGCATGAACACGTTTTCCAACCCGGCGACGCCCGAAGATGGCGAGCCCATGTGACACGGCAGAATGCAGAAGTTTCGGGTTTGGGCTTTGGGGGCTTCGGGGGGTGTGACTTTCGTTGCTTCTTTTGCGTCAGGGGCTCCAAGCAGGTGGCATAGAGTGCCTTCGCGTTTTTGGACAGGTATACCCTAACCCTAAAATCTGAACCCTAAACCCTAAACCCTAAAGGGGTTTGTGCATGAGCCACCTTGAAAACTTTACACAGCCGGCAGCCAGCATGATCATGTAACCCCACCTCACCCTGGCCTCACCGTAGAGCCCCAAGTTGAAACCCACCCTGATGACCCTAATGACCCTAATAAGCCTAATCAGCCTAATAACCCTACTAATAACCCTAATAGCCCGAAACCCGAAACCCTGCCAAGCACAGGTTGCCCCAGGCTTCTGGAGAGCAGGGCAGTGGTCGCTCCCTGGTAGAAACTAAGGTCGGGCCATTTCAAGGCTACTGCATCAGGGGCTTCAGGGCCTGCTCGGGATTGAGGTGTTTTTCCAAGGGTTTCGGGGGTTTAGGAGTTTAGGCCGCATGGAGAGTGGAGAAGGAGGTTAAGGTTAGCAACAGTGACAGTCGCAGGGTGCTGAGAATGGACCCTTCAAGCAAGGGAGCTCGAATGAGGGTCTGGAGATCGGATGGTAGTTCCATGAGCGCACTTCTTGTCTGCCTTCGCGGGTAACACTGCGAAAGAGACGCGCCGTAGGAGCCTAGGGCACACACCAGAGGCTCTCGAGGCACACGAGCAGGCGCCAGAACAAAGTGTGTCCTGGTTGTGATTTTACATTTTTGTCATATGAAATTATAAACAAGGAGGGAATATAAATTATCATGTTTTAATATAAACTCCAACAAGGAGGCAGGTTTAAAGAGCTCCAAGCAAGCCCTAACAGGCACGAAGCCTCGGAGCCTCCCAGGCCGCTGGCGCCTCGCAGTGCTTGCTAGCGTTCTGGCGCTCGCTGGCGTGGGACTTTTGGCCAGGCGCCTGCGCGAAACTAGGGTTTAGGGTTTAGGGTTTAGGGTTAGGGTTTAGGGTTTAGGGTTTAGGGTTTAGGGTTTGTACTCACACAAGGAAGAGGAAGAAGAAGAGGAACAAGCATGAACGCGATGATTGCAGTCAGTATCGTACTCATAGCTCATCACGTCGACAAAAAGAAGATCGTCGGAGCAAAGGTTCACTCCCTTTGGGTGAAAAGGTGTGAGGATATCTTGAGTGAGCGCTGCAGGGATTCTCGGGACTACTTGCGGAGTGCTTTGCGGGTGGGCACATGTAAGTACTGCATACAGCAAGCTATATACGAAAAACAGAGCAGAGAGTAGGCCCTCATTCCTTTTTTTATATTGTGTTTTTTCTCTTTTTTTTTTTGGGGGGGGGGGGGGGGGGGCGGGGGAAGTAGGCGAGTTTAGATGCCCTTACAAGCCCCTCTAAACCGAAAGGGTAGCCTTGTTTATTCCTAGACTACTCTTGGTCTTGTGTTCAGCCCTAAACCCTAAACCCCGAACCCTAAACCCTAAACCCCAAACCCCTAAACCTTTTGCATTCTTGGGTCTGGTTATTCTTGCAGGAAAAAAGGAGGAGGATTGAAACCGAGATCGTCCTGGGTCCGGGAGGGTGGCGCAGCAAAGGGCTGTATACGGGCATGCCAGGTCCAGGATGCCACAGTAGTTTTGGGGTTTGGGGTTTAGGCTTTAGGGTTTAGGTTTAGGGTTTAGGGTTTAGGGTTTAGGGTTTAGGGTTTAGGGTTGAGAGTGAGGGTAGTTAAAAATCTCATGATAGTCACAGGGCGCATATCCCCCTCCTCCTCGCGCCCCATCCGAGGCAAGCGGCTGTGGAGGTGGGTCCTGAAGCCTCAAGCTTGACGTGAGTCCTTAGTAGAGTACGGTCTTACATGCCATCCGTTGACACAAGCACGTGCCGCATGTTAAATACACGAGTCACTAGGAGCAGTACTTATAGGATCAGCGGACTTCGTAGGCTAGGTCACAAGTTATACCGCGTTTGCGCCGTATTCTTCAGGCCCCCCGTTTTCACGAGCCAATGCTTGGCCGTCTGGGCCCAAGGTCTGACTCTGGCGACTCCGGAAGCAGAGCTTCTGTTGAGTTTTGGCCTGTGAACCCCCCATGTGAACATGTGCAATTGAATATAATAAAGGCACTCAGTTCCCAAGCAATGCCGAAACCGTCCGAAACCCTACACTGCACACCTCGTTACTTTGCTGGGACAGGGGCTTAGGCTCCGCCCGTTTTTCCGTTTCACTGCATCCTCCATCGCGACTTGAGCTCATGTCCTCTTGCCTCTTCGGAAAGCCCCAGACGCCGCTCGAAATCTATGGCCGGTCGTTGCCCGATGATGCAGACGCACCTTGGGCATGTAGCAGCACCATGTAGGGGTTGCAGGTCTGAAAAAGCATGAGGGTGTTTGTGGGCTTGTAGGACCGCGGAAGTTGTCCGTTCCTTGGCTCTTTCGCTCCGAGGCAGCTCCGATGCTCTTCCCCATGTACACCGTCGCTGCCGATGTGCTGCTGAAGATGACGAGGGTCGAGCCACACGAGAAGTTAAAGGCCGGAGTTCACGCGTCAAAGCCAGGGACGTGCCGTGTGAGGGTTCCACTTGTTTACCACTGCGAGAGCTGGAATAGAGACTAGACACCGCCGTGAAGCCTCCCCAGTCCGGCGCCTCCAGAGGCTCCGCGTCAAGAGGCGAGATAAGGGGTTGGAATAGACAGGTACCTTCGACGCAGTTTGGTGGGGGGGGGGGTGGTCACTGTACCATCTCGCCGAATCCTCGCTGGCTAGCGGCTAAAGGCACTTAGGTGCCTTTTGGGGCAGGCCATCCTCATTGGATGCACCTGGCCCTCGCTGGCTCCTCGTGCTCGTCCGCGTGGTGCCCCGCGGTATCGCTCGCCGCCGGCAACGGCGCGCTCGAATTTATACCGTACTGACATGCTGTTCGTGTGCAAGCATCGGGTTTGGTTTTTGCGAACTCAACTTGCCCGGCTGGGAAAAACCAATTATATAGATAGAGAAGCCAAACCAGGCCAAGCCATTTCAAAATCAGAACTCTGGTGTAGATCGTCTAACTGATGTAGATCGTCAAACAGAACTCCCTGTCGAACAGGAAGGATTGTCTGGCAGAAAACCTTGTGAAACCTAAAACCCTGGTCGAACCAGGAGCCTTGCCAAACAGACAAACCTTCTCCACCAGAAAATGTACAACTGCAAAGGTACACTACTCACGAACCCTTCTCTTCCTTGTGCCTAGCACATGTATCTTGTGGAGATAGCAGCCCCCAAACCCCCCCCCCCAACCCCCCCCCCCCCCAACCCACCGAGGCTTTTTGGGGGGGTGGGGGGCTTTGACAACCCGCCTGCAACTGAAAGCACACACAGGAGAAGGAAAGAGCGCGCTTGGGTATGAGTTTGGGCCTGAACCCGAAAAAGATTGGTTTGGGTGTGGCCGCCTTATATGTTGCGGGTGGGAGAGAAAGAGAGAAGAGCCCGAGACAGACAGGCTTTGACAGCTCATCACGATAGTACGATACACCCGACTCGACCTGGTCAGATGTTGTTGGCTATGCATTCTCCCACAGCAAACCGTAAACCCTACATTCCCTGAACCCCGAGCCACAGACTTTGGGGAAGCTTATGGACCTCGGTTTTTCATGGCCGATCCCTCCAGGTGACACGAACACCTGAAATTTTGAGACGCTTAGGGCCTAGAGGGTTTAGGGCTTACTGTATAGGATAAATCTCAAAGCTGGACTCCCTTAACCACTGTGTTGGGATTCACTCCTATAAACCCTGAACCCTAAATCCTACACCCTAAACCACCAAAGCGCCAAAAAAAATGAACGACCCCAAAACCCTCGTTCTGATGTTCGGAGGCCGCGGGTGAGCTTGTTGCCTTCAGCGACGACTTGGGTAAGGCGGCCTTCGTTTCGCACCAGTGGCTTGCCAAGGACCACCCCGATCCCGAGTTCAAGCAGATGCGTACCTTGCAGAACGCCTTGAAGCGCATCCTGAACGGCTCCGGGTCGCTTTCCTTGGACTTTATTACGGAAGCCTTGGTTCAAACGGCCAAGCCTCTTTCCATGCAGGAGTTCCAGGTGCAGAGGTTGTACTTCTGGTACGACTATTTCTCATGCCCACAGACTAAGCATCGGGTCGACAAGGAACCGAATATGCACCAGGCCAGCGCCATAACAAGCATCCCGGCGTATATCGCCCGGTGCGCTTTTTTCTTTGCGCTCTGCCCTGTTCTCGATTGCCCCCTCAAGAGCACGGTACTCGCCGCGGCGACTTGGAGCAGGAGGGGCTGGTGCCGCCTCGAACGTGCGGCACGCGAACTGTCGCCCAACAGCACCTGGATTCTGATTCAGAGCGAAAGCTCCATGGAAGTTGTTGGCACGGTGCTGTCCTTTCCGAGCGGACCCGTTGGGGAAGGCGACTTCGAGATCGAGGAGGATCGGCAGAAGCTGGCCCCGGTTATGCGTCAGATCTTAGTCCAGAAGCTGCTTCATTGCCTGCGAGTAGGCGACTTGCCCGGATTCCGACGGCGCTTCAACCTCCAGACGGTTCATCTGCGGGGGCTGGAGATCGAACCCGTGACCGGCCTGCTTCCCAGCTGCGGCGGCAACGATACAGTGGCGGAGTTCCTACACCAGAATGGTTTGCGAAGGGTCGGCGAGGCCGACACCACGGGGTGGTGGCCTCTGCACTACGCGGCACTCGCCGGCAATGCAAAGGTGCTGAGGGGCCTTCTGGAGATTCGTGCCGACATGAACCGTCGCACATCGAAGGATGAGCCGATATTGGGCTTTCCGCCATGGGTGTCGGCTTTGGATCTAGCAGTTTTTTACAAGCACCAGGAGGCCACACGGCTGCTTCTCACGGCGAAAGCTCAGCTCCAGGGCGGCGTTGCGCCCGCCGTCTTCGTGGCGGCCAACACGGACAATGCAGAGGGCGTCCGGCTCCTGTGCGCAGCGGGTGCCAGACCTCTGGCCTGCAACATGTTCGGCGTCAGTTCCTTGCGAAATGCAGCAGCTTGTGCAGCTACGGCAGCACTGGAGGAGCTGGTTCGGCAGGGCCGCCCATCTTCGCTGGATCTCTCGCGCGCCCTCTTCGATGCCGTGGCCATGCGCGGGGGCTCAGCGGAGCTTGTGAACCGGCTGATCGCCTTACGTGCCGATATCGACTTTCAGCTGACCCCACGTGGCTTCAGCACCCTGGGCCGGCTGCTCTTTGCAGGGAAGTCCTTGCAGTATCAGATTGGCCGCAGAACTGTTTTAACCACTCTGGCCTATCATATGCATGGCAGCACGCCCCTGATGCAGGCCATCCGCTCGGCTCAATTCGAGGCCGCCGCGGCTCTGATTGCGGCCGGCGCGAGATTGGACCTCCGCAACTGCCGGCACTGGACCGCGGCGGATTTTGCCCGTGGCCAGTCGATCCCCCGCTTTCTGCAGCTTGGCCTGGAAGGGGACGTGTCAGAGTGCCAGCGGGTCTCCTCACTCGCCCTTGCCGACGGCTATGTCGAGGTTCCTTTTTGACAATCTTGAGAGTTGAGGCCCAAGATGTGAAGTGGAGTTGGGTGAGCCAAGAAACCCCCTCCCGAAGTCCTCTGACGTTCTCCAAGAGTGAGTCAGATGACCTTTCTGTGCCTTTCGAAGCACATCGCGCTTTCTGATCTCTAATCCCCTCCACTGCGGAGTGCTTTAAATCTGCACCGAGTCACAAAGCTTCAGGGTGGTGGTGGTGGTGACGCTGATGATATAAGAGGACGACGATGGTGATGATGGCGAGAAGGATCTTGAGGATGTTCGCGCTGGTGTTGATATTTGTATTGGGGATGATCAGCGTTCGTACTAGCACCAGTACGTGCGGCATGTTGATTTGTACCAGTAAATCTGCTACTATTCATGCAGGTGTACTACATGTATCAGCACATAGCACCCATATTCGCATTAGTTTGCTGCTTCTGCATTGCAGGAGAAGCATGTCTTGAATGCTGATGCTGAGAACGTTGTGTCCAGAGCTTCTGTGGATATCTTCATAGGAGCAGTCAACAAACAGGCATGCCAGGCATTTAGTTCCCAAGAAATCCCGAACCCCCCTGCACTGTGAGATGAATATGTCACGTGACTTCGCACATTTATGGGCGCTCGAACCTACCCCAACAGTTTAAAGAACTTCTTTCTCTCTTGCTAGCGCATCTCACTGGCAGCGGGTTCCTCTCCGAAGGACTCAATGCGAAGCCCTTTAGGATTTAGGGTTTAGGGTTTAGGGTGCAGGGCCTGAGCCAGGCGCCAAGAGACCCCGACGTCGGCGCTGTGGAGGACGCCATCGCTGAGCACAGCGGTGGCTACACGGAAGGTGGGGGGGGGGCCTCTGGCCTGCTGCGCTTTATAGGGTTCAGGCCGTAAGGTTCTGGGCTTAGGGTTGAAGGTGTAATCTTGAGCCCCTCCGGCAAACTTTGCATTCCATTCTGCAGGCTTCTTACCTAAATGAGCTCGAGAGTGGGGACTGGGGAGTTCAAAGTGTAGCATGCCAGGTGGAAGCAGGAAGGGTGCGGAAATCAGCGCTTCGGTGGTCATGTTCCTTTGCATTTCATGGCGGAAGCGTAGCCGTTGGCATCAAGAGAAGCTGTGGGGTTGATTTTTACGATGGGGAGGGGAATAGCTGAGGGCAGGGCAGCCTTGATGGATCAACCTCCGCGTCCTGGGCAGGAAATCAGGGACTTGAAGCAGACTTTTGGTCAGTTCTGTTCAACAGCAGTGCCAGATACAATGCAGACGATGTGAGCGTTGAACCCGGTGGATCTTCAGCCCTAATCTCAACATCCCTGACAGGCCACAAGTACACGATTTGCAACCTTGATGTAAAGAAATGCTTTGCGCACGCCGCTCCTGGGCTGAATCCACCTCCCTTGTTTAGTAGTGATCTGCTGTTGAGATCATGTTTCAGTCGCAGTCCCCTGTCTGATCAGAACTCCGCGGAGCAAGTTTGTCAACGTTCCAGATTCTAGATCCCTGTAGATGTGGGATAGATTTGGGGCTTCAATCTTAGGCAAAAGACGGCGAGATCAGATTGGTCGACATCGGGCACAAGGCTTCCGACTTCTTTCTCAATGGGGCTGAGAGTCTTGGCTGCCTTAAAGACCAGGTGTTGTGGCTCTCAGAGACCATCCCAACCATTTTCAAGTCAAAAAAGCTCCCGAACCGCACTTCCCCCAGGTTCTAGTCCTAGAGATCGTATAGTGGGAAGTAGGACACTCAACAGAAAGACCCCTGACTTTTGGAGTCCCCCTATCCTCCCATGATCCAGGACGCACGTCGCTGTGGCTGCGGGAAGCGACGCCCGCTGTGCCCAGCTTCCCAGCGCCGACGCGCGTCTCGACAGCTGGAAGAGTATGTCTACTGGCAGGTCGCCATCCGCAGTGTATATCAGTGTGGTATAGAGTCGAGTATAAGATAGTACATAGCAGCCCTTCCTTCCTAGACACGTCGCGGGCCCCCACACAGGAAGGACCCGAGGATGAGACGTCATTGGTCTACTCTCAGAATCGCGAACTTTGCAAGGGCTGCAGGAAGCCTCCCGCCCTGCCATCCTCGGCATCGCCAAGCTTCCCACCCAGAATGAAGCATGCCTTCCAGAATCGTTAAGGCCCAAGCCCTCTCTGGCGTTCTCTGCTACCAGTAGGACGCAGGGCAGAATTCTTGGCCACGGCATTCATCCAATCTTGCCGGCCACGGACCTTGAGCAGTCGCCATCGCTCCACTTCGCTGGCTACATGACATACCCCTTTTGGTCCTTTCAGCTCCGGGGACGTCCAGCTTGCCAGAGTCCACACCTCTCAGGACCATCTCGTACTCCGGCTCTGAGCCCTCCTTCCTGGAGGGGGCTCCGGCCCCAGGGGGCGGAGGCCGGTAAGGATTGGTGATGACGCAGTGCGCGCCTTCTTCTGGGAGGATGTGGAGCTCTAGTCCACAGGTGTGCCTAGGATTGTCCTTGGGATGATTTAGACGGGGTTTTTCAGGGCATGAACTTCTGGTTCTTCAGAATGAACCAAACGAGGGGAGGGCGAAATTCCAAGACCCCATAGCATGACTTAGTGGGTATCTTCGGAAGCTTCCTTTTGTCCGGCTTTTCCTGGCCATTGCATTGTTAATCCGGGCCCCGTGTTCCTTCTCAAAGCCGAACCCGCAAGCAGCACGCTTACATGCCTAAAGCAAAAACTCAGGCAAGCTTTGGTCGTCGGCAGCTGCGTCGAGGCGAATCGCTTCCAGCTCCCACCTCTGCCCCTTGACGCAGGGAGCTAAGTGGCTTCGGGGGCCTGCAGTGTAGGCCTCAGGGTTTAAGGTTTAGGGTTTCGAGGGTACAGGGCCGACATGGGATGCAGCCTTGTCGGATTCTAAAAGCTTTTCACTGCTGGCTGGTCTGACATACATAGCCCTCACAAATTCAGTTTTAGGTGCTTGGGTGACGGCAATGGTGGGCAGGGGTATGCATGCAAAGCGTATGCAAAGCGTATGCAAAGCGTATGCAAAGCGTATGCAAAGCGTATGCAAAGCGTATGCAAAGCGTCGTCAAGGGCTTGGGATGGAGCCTTCAGTTTCATTCTGACATTCACGAGGTTATGCCGTTGCTGAATAAGTCTGAGTAAGCCGTCATCAGTGTGGCAACCACAGGAGACAGTTCAAACACAAGTGCAAAACAGCCAAGGAACATGATGGGACAGATCAGGCCTCTCTGTTCAGGTGTTTGCCAGCGGCAATAGCATGATTCGGAGAGCATTGTGTGAAGAAGGCGTCCCCCAAGCTACTTCTTGTTACAGCCGCATGTTCCAAAGTCTTGCTTGTGAGAGCTTTCTGATTCCCTTGGGCCCCCACATACCAGGAGGGAAGTGAACGAGAGGAAACGAGGTTAAACCGCAGAGCCGTCGCCCGCCCCCCCCCCCCAAACTTGAATAGGCCCTCATCCCCCTTTTGTTTAGGGGTCAGGTTCCCTTACCAGCACCTTTAACCCCAAACGGGCACACTTGTCTTTTCACTGGGCTACTCTTGGGTCTAGCCCTACTACTGTTATTGGTGAGGTTATATAAGGTTCCTTTTTTAATATTGGTGAGTGTATATTCCGGGTGTCCTTTTGGGGGGTACAAGAAATATATGCCCTACTTCATTTACTCTTGGGTCCTAAACCCTAAACCCTAAACCCCCTAGACCCTTTCTATTCTTGGGCTATATACTCTTGGGTCTGGAAGTTCTACACACCTTTCCAGCTCCTTCGAAGGCTCAGCGCTCAACCAGAGCTATGCCTCCAAGCTTTGGACCAGGATGGGTCACCTGTGGCCCGATGCCCAGCCGTTCATGGGGGTTTAGGGTTTAGGGTTTAGGGTTGTGGGTTTTGAGTTGTGGGCTGTTTAGGGTTGTTTAGGGTTGTTTAGGGTTGTTTAGGGTTGTTTAGGGTTGTTTAGGGTTGTTTAGGGTTGTTTAGGGTTTAGGGCCTAGGGGATCCCTAAAATGGAGCCCCAAGTAGCAGGATATACTAAGGACGCCAATAAGGTACCCCTAATTGCGGAAAGCCCCTCATGGGCTTCAGCGTAGTTGAGGTCTGCTTTAGGGTTAGTCTTGTTGTCATGTTTAGTATCTTTTTCACGTTCGCAATAGTATTCATGCTCGTATGATTCTACCGTTGTTGCGAAGTGTTTTGGGGGTTTTGGAGGCCGCAGCTTCTGGCATATCTAGCAAGGTGAAGTCCGCCCTGTGTGGGCTACCCGGCACTACCTGGGGAGTCGCTAGGGCCTCAGCGTCTGTAGTCGCAGAGAAGCATGCGCTTGAGACCAAGAGATTAATCATCAAGATGGCATCTCCCAGAGCCCGCGCTTGATTCAGGGCGAAGATGTCCCAGAGTACGAGCCCGGCGTCTTGTACAAGCTTTGCAACAAAGCCACGAACATGTGCGTCAGCAACTGCCACGGCAAGGGAGATCACAAGGCTCTCTCTCCATCGGCGGCATGACTTGAGATAAGTTATCCTGCCTTTGAAGGCCCTAAGAATGCCCAAAAAATGAAAATATATCTCGGTCTGAGGCGTAGCAACTTCCCGAGAGACTTCGGCCCTGCACCAGGTGTGTGATTTCGATGGGGCCGCCACGCACATGACTGCGCGGTCGGAGGCCGCAAGCTTCCTGATCAGACCTGTCAGGACACCTATATCCCCCTTGGGAATCATTTTGTTGTTTATATAAAACCCAAGAGGACATCAAAAATAGGTTCTAAGGGGAGTATAGACACTGGCAGAGCACGACCTGTAGGAGAGTTCCCTGTAGCTCACTTGCGTTAGCTGAATTCAGTCTAGCGGGGCTACCTTTGGTACGTTCGGCAAGCGTAGCGGTTCATGCACTTAAGAGCCAAGACGGGAGCCTGGATTTCATGCTTCATGAAACTTAATCAACATGATAACCCCGAAGCAATAAACTAGGTTTCTACCTGAGAACGGAGCGAGGACGTCACTGGACGTCACCCCGCTCCAGCTCGCAGATGATTCGAAAGGAAGGTTCTGCCTCCAGGTGCAGAAGTTCAGTATGGCATGGCCACTTGCCTGACCTGTAAATGAGGGCATGGGGCCTGGGATGTTGATCCTCCGCGTTTGGGTTTAGAGTCTGGAAGTTACGAAATCTGATCCTAGCTGCTAGGGCGTTGAAAACTCATGCACGCAAGTGCAGCAGCTTCCTGGTTGCTGGGTTACCGTAAGACCCTATGCCGTCCCACGCCGTCTTGCACGTAAGGGCTGCGATTGCTTTATTGTTGCGCTGGTGTTGTTGTTCTTCTTGCTCTCCTTCTTATCCATCGTTGCTATAGCTGTTTAGTATTATTCTCATCAAAAGTCGACATCCGTACCCTGTTGGGGGCCCAGGCTCCCCTGGCTCGTCTCAGGACTGCGCCCCTGGAGTTCCGGCCCTGCCAGCCGACGAAGCAAAACTTCTACCTGCCGATGCCCGCGGAGTCATCTCACAAAATCCGGTGGGCGCTGCATTTAGTGACGAGGGCGATGAAACCCTGAGCCTCAGGAAGCTAAGCAAAGATCAGTATGCCCGAAAACCAAGTTGCTGTTCCCCTCTGTCCGTGCACAGGGCACGCCGGGCACGCCCAGTGATGGGGCGCCCCCGGGAGGAGAGGGTGAGAGAGAGCGAGAGAGACACGACGAACTTGGAGGAGCCCTTCGGGGTTGCCCGTCTCGGTAGACTGAGTGCCCGGGGAGGGAAGGAGGGAGGGAAGGAAGGAAGGAAGGAGGAGAGAGAGAGTGAGAGCCTTCGTGCAGCCCTACTTCGGGAGGGTTATTAGGACGAGAGCAATCGAGAGAGAGTGAGAGAGCGCTGAGTGCCAAGCGCCCTTGGGGTGACCCGCTTGCAGGCTAAGCTTGCAGGCAAGTCTAAGGAAGGAAGACAAGTGCTCGTGGATTTCTGGGGCTTCGCCGCTCCAACCTTTGTGCCTCAGACGCTGTACATTCACAGACAGAAGTAGCAAGCACACCGAGCGAACAAAGGCAAGACGCGGAACGAAGGACGGGAAGAGGGGGGAGTTAAATTGGAGCAAAAGCAGCCGAGAGAAGGACGCGCAAGCTGAAAGGGAGGAAGAGGTGGAGGGCCGAAGAGGGGACCGAATCACGAAAGACGTGGCGCAGCTTTGCAGGTGGGCGTTGAATGAGAACCGGTGCCTGGAGGCCAAGGACGGCAACGCCCCTATGCCTGCAGGTTTAGGGTTTAGGGTTTAGGGTTTAGGGTTTAGGGTTTAGGGTTTAGGGTTTAGGGTTTAGGGTTTAGGGTTTAGGGTTTAGGGTTTAGGGTTTAGGGTTTGAGTGTGACTTGCTGTGCGGTGTAGTGTTCGGGGTTAGGAGTCGGCAAGCAAGAATGCTAGGACCCAGAGTGGGCCCTTGTTCTCGTTTTAGGTCTCAGGTTCCCTTCTCAGCCCTTTTAAACCAGAAAGGGAACCCTGCTTTTTCCTAGGTTATTCTTGAGTCTAGCCCTAAACCCTAAACCCCCGAAACCCTTGTTATTCTTGGGTCCACCTCTTAATTAGTCAGTGCGCACACCTCTGAGTCAGTGCGCCGCCCTCGCAGTTGAGGTCGCCACATCCCGATGCCGATGGGGATACCAGATGATTGATGAGCAGAGGTGGATCCTGGCGCGCGGCCAAGAGGAGGGTTTACTTGGAGGGTCGGGGCGCTTAGTAAGTAGGGATAGAAGCACCTTAATTGGGGTTCTATGTTGTTATACGTATAGCTACCTGATTTCTACCCCCACTTGCTAAGTCCCCTGAACCTTCAAGTGGAGTTTTAGGGTTGAGGGATGAGGGTGCTTAGGGTTGAATGAAGTGGTTCGAAATCGCACTGCTGTCATCAAAGGGATCGCGGGATGCATATGTTCTCCTCTTTGTGTCACTCACTATGGCAGCTTTAGGGTTTAGGGTTTGGGGTTTAGGGTTTAGGGCTTAGGGTTTAGGGTTTAGGGTTTAGGGTTCCCATGTGACGATGTAGAGTTTGGCCTGAACACTCTGGATGGCAAGAAGTTCGTGACGACGTCATGCAATGACCTTGACCAAGGCACCAGCATGAGACATGCCTGTGAGGGCGTGACGTCTGCGTGAGCTGCAAACCCAAAAGCAGGATTTAGGGCTTCGGGTGTACCGTATGATATGATGGGACCTGTGTCGGATGGTTCCTTTAGAGTCCCCCCCCCCCACCCACCCAGCCACCCACCCCCGCGCTGTGTGCTCGGCTTGACGTTT